CCTAGCGAGCGCGGGCCCGGCGCCGGGCCCGGGCAGACGGCCGGGGGCGTCTCCGCCGAGACTCTCTCCGTGGCCCCTGAGAGGCGAGGGCGAAGGCTGAGTGGGGCCGAAATCATGAACCGGAGTTTTCACAAGTCTCAGACCCTACGCTTCTACGACTGCAGCGCCGTGGAAGTCAAGAGCAAGGTAAGTGCCCGAGGCCCACCGTGGCGGTCTGCACTCGTCCCCCTGGCAAATGAATGGGGCACCCCGCGGAGGGAAACTGGAGCGGTGTGGGAGGCGACCGGCGTCGACAACTTTGGAGCTTGGGCGCTGCATGCCTCTGCGCAGGGTCCGTGGGATGTGCTCCGGGACCCCGGCGGTCCTCCCTGCTCCCTGTGCGAACACAAAGCCCGGCGGCCGAGGGCCATAGGACAGTCGATGCAGGCTCGGAACCCGCTCCACGAGAGCTGCTCTTTTGTTCCACGAACTAGAGACGACCCGGGCGCGCCACACGTTGGAGGGGAGGGCTGTGTTTCCGGGGCGATCTAGGAGCCGAGGCTGCTGGGTTTCGGGTCGTGGAGGGGTCTTTGGGGGCCAGAAGCAGGAGGGGGGGCCTGGCTGCATCGCCTATTTGACTGTGAGGAGCAGACTGGCGGTCGACTCCCAGATCAGGGCCCTGGCCCAGCCCCCAGTTTGGCGCTGGGTACCAGACCCGGAGCCCTAGGCGTCCTCTACCCCCAGGCCCAGACCCCTTAATCATACACACCTGGCTCAGATCCAGTCTTCCCCGACCCAGCCCTGAACACCCTTCCTATCCAGACATCTTTCCCAGACGCTCCCCCAGCTTAGATCCTTCAGGTCCCTAGGGTGCCGGGACCCAGAAATTCCCATCTGGGCCAAGCTCCCAGACCAGACTGCAATCCGCTACGGGGCGCGACCCCAGCGCAGACTCAGACCCCCTGGGCGCGCCTAGGCCCCTCCCGCTGCTTGTGCCTAGGCAGAGCGTGCCCGAACTTGCGGGTCGCCTTGTGTCTGGATAATTGGCTGATAGGATCTGGCGCTTCTCCCCTCTGCGGAGGCGGCTCCTTCCCTGCAGACGCTTTAGTCTGGGAGGGTCTACAGTGTGGACCCTGCGGGATGGAGAAGGAGCTGCTGCTGCTCCGGGTCGGGTGGGAGAAGTCCCTCGAGGCTTTTACTGACTAGGAGATAAGCAGCCTAGTTTCTGTGGCGTTCTGGGTGAAGAAGGCGGGGCTGCCAAAATGGTCCAGGTCACCAAGGGTTGAGTTTTCACCAATGCTTCTTATGGGCCTAAGGCCTGTGATCCGTTCGTCTGCTCTCCAGGGAGGTAGGTGGTGCATCGCCGGACTGCTGACCAGCCCCAATGAATCTTTTGGTGTAAGATTTTCAGGGTGTGTGTAGAGGACCAGGGAAGGAGCAGTCCCTCAGCAACAGCAGCAGGGCATCATCGCAGACTCACTGTGATGAATTGCAGGGACTCCTCATTTGGGGACTCTCTTACTTATAATGAGACCCTACCCTGCTTCCAAATGCTAATTCCCTGACCCTTGCCCCACACCCATCCCCTCTGTTGCCCAGGAGTGCTCCCAAACTCCCGCACTCATGGACCCGTGAAGTTAGGGCCCTCAGTCCAGCAGGAGGTTGAAACGATTGCTCATTTCTTCAGCACTGCAATATGGCAGCCACTCCGTTTCCTTAAACTTTTTTTTTTGAGATGATTGTACATTCACAAGTTGCGGCCAGAGAGAATACCGAAATCTGAGGTCACTTTGCCCAGCCTACTGTGATATTGACCTCTTGTGTGAGTAGACCGGGATCTTACTAGGGTTTTGTGTGCTCGCTTGTGTGCGCACACAGGTGTGCACACTGGTGTGACTGCCAACACGGTGAAGGCTCAGAGCCATCCATCACACAGGATCCTTCCTGACCACCGAGTGTGGACTGATTAGTACTAAACACTCAGTTCTGGTGCTCAGCAGCTCTGCGTGGCACAGCACATTATCAAACTCAAAATGAGGCTGTGGGACAGATCTGGAGGAAATGCCCTCACCAGGCCTTATCCTGCAGTTCTGGGCTGTGGTCCATGCAGGGCTGTTAGGGGAGGAGAGGCCACCTGCCTTTATTTCCTGGAGTGTTAGCCCAACTGCCTCGTCCAGCTCTGCTTAGTAGAGAAATGCTACCCCCTGGCTTTGAGCTCAGATGCTGTCTTGAGTGGAGTAAATGGCGCAGCTGAAGTTTGTTTGGACTTGAGGGACATTGGAGGGCCCACACTGACCGAGGCAGCACTGGGATGGCCGTGGCACACTCCCCACCCACAACGTGGCATACTCATTGTTTGTCCAGAGTGTCCCGTGCGGCTCTTCCCTCCATGCCTTCCCACACTCCTCCCACTTTGTAGTTGATATGTGTGACTGTGGTGTCCATCTCTGCAGGGAAGGGCCTTTGTCACACTGCTGGAGGCAGGACTTCATATCAGCGAGAGGACTTCATGCAACTTGACCATAGAACTACCCTACCGTGGTTTTGCTTGGTGAAATGGCAGCCTGGGAGCTAAGCGCACCCACGTTTTGCCACCTCTCTACCTTCGGGGGTTTGCAGCAAGTCATTTAGTTTCCCTATCTCAGTCATCTCATCTGTAGCATGGGTGTTCTCTCTGAGCCGCTCGCCTCCCGAGATGAAATGTAGCAGTGGGGGTGAGGGCATGTTGGAAACTCCAGCATGCACACCCACAGTCGTGAGGATCCAGCACCACAGATCAAGGTCCTGCAGCACTGTAAGATGCCTGGCCTGAAAATCGCCACACATCCTCCCCAAACTGTGATCCTCCGTCATCTGCCACCGCTGGCCAGTTCCTGGGCATGCCGGGTGTGTCTGCAGAGGGCACAGGTTCTTGGCCTGGTGGCTGGCCCCCATTTGACGTCCCCCTACCCTGAAGTCTTTAATCTAGCTCATCAGCTCTGCCTCTCCAGAGCATGCGCACTTCTGACTTCCTGCTTCTGCCTGCCCTTCTCTCTCCTTTGGCTTTTACCTCTCCCCTCCTAAGACCTGCAGCCAGAAGGGGGGAGAAGGGCAGACGCCTAGCTGCTTTGAAGGATAGATAGCAAGCTGTCGGGATTGGGGACTGGCAGGGGGCAGGGTGGGTGTCAGAGGGTACAGTTTTCACCCATCATGTCCTAACTCAAGCCTTTTGCCTCCTCCGTATCATCAGCCGTACTACCATCTGCTTGAAAAGCCTGAAAGGCATAGCAGGCCCTTCCACCTCAGGAGCGTCTCAGTTCCTGAATTAAATGAGTTAGGCTTCCAGGTTCTTTTCTACACTGTGTGGTGTCCGTTCACACCTGGTGTGGCCTGGGCCCCTAAACCGGAGTCTGTGCTTTCCCCCACTTGAGAGGCTTGTCCTAGACTGTCCCCCTTCTGCAAAGCCGTTCTGAAGGGTCCCACACCAAACCAGGCTCTCCTCGTTTTAAGGCATCCCTCTGATGCCCGCTCTGTGTTCAGTTTTCCGTCTTGTTCATGCCTCCCTAAAGACAGTCGAAGCTGGGTGTGGGGATTCTGTCCACAGATGAACTTCTCTTAAGTGTTGTTGCCTCATGGCCTTCTGATGGCACATGCATGTGTGCACACGTCACATTATGGTTTCTAAAATTAGCATCACAAAGACATATTACATAGTCTACTTCCGGTCTGGCAATATATTATAAATGTTTCTTCATGTCATTAATATTTTTAGAAGACTTTTAAAAAAATGACTACATAGTATTATTATATCTCATGTCTAAACCAAAATTAATTTAACCAATATCTTGTTTGAGTGTCTGCCTGTTTTTCCCATACTAAACTGTGCTGTGAACCATATTGAAGTATTTATATGAAGCTTATATAAAATATACAACATAAGGCAAATGAAAGTTATTGGATGCATTAAATCAGTACAGAACTCTGTGTATTCAAAATTACTTGAGAGAAAGATGAACACATTTTTGCAGCTTTGAATACATAGTTAGTCAATGTTTAGGCCGATGAGATAGCCCAGTAGTGAAGGCACTTGCCAAGCAAGCCTGACCTCTCCAGTTCGATCCCCGGAATCCACATAAAGGTGGAAGCAGAGAATAACTCCACAAAGTTGCTCTCTGACCTACACACACACACACACACACACACACACACACACACACACACACACACACACACCATGGCATGCACACCACTGTTCTCTCACACACATATCCTGCACATGCAATAACTTTTTAAAAATTAAATGTTCTGAGAAATCTCCTCAGCTATCTTCAATGTGCTGTTTGACATTGATTCACTATCCTCCCCCAATCCTTTTTTTCTCCCTCTTTCAAGCTCTGGACACTTTCTCATTGGTGGTATCTTACTGTTTTAATTTGTATATTCCTTGAGATGTCAATGAACTGGAAACTCACATGTGATAGCGTGCTCTTTGTCCATCTTGTTTTAGCTGCCTGGTTTTATCCGGTATCCTCTTCCCGTTCTCTTTGTGTTGATGTTTGGGAGCCGCTTATCTATAGAGGGTCCCACCAGAGCAGGTGAGACTGATCTTCCAGGTTCTCAATGGAGCTGGTGTCCTTTCGCTGGCATAGCCTGGCTCAGACATTAACCTGGGCCCCTGGGAGGGCATGAGTGTGAGTAGCACCTTGATGGCCTGGATGATCATGTGCTGGCTGGCAAAGTTCTGCTGTGGACAGCTGGGCACACCGTGTTTTCTGTCAGCATGTCTCCTCCGATCCCCAAGATCTTATCTCTAGCTGAGCCTGTTGGCTGCCATGGCCCTGCAGGGACCCACCCTTCCATCTGGCATGAGACAGCAGGT